CCTGCTGAATGAAAACTTCAGGGTTTAGGAACAGCAGCATGTGGATTATTTCACTTGTGGTCCCACTGCTACATGTACAATCTTCCCTTACAGGAGATGTTCCAGTTACCTGGGACAAGTGTGGCTTTTTTATTTTTTAAGCGTTATCTTAGAGTGCTGAAGAGCATCTGTTTCCTCACAGCATATTTGGTATGGGAACCAACCATTGGTATTTGGCAATTGGGCTTCCCAGCCATCTGTTAGGACTTCAGTTTGTTTATGGCAGCAAACACACCCCATAGCAGCTTCTCCCATCCTGACTTCCCTCACAACTGCAGCGTAACTTTGCAGGATAATGACACTAGGCAGCGGGCATGGGCCAGGGATTGCTGGAGGTAATGACTGCAAAGCTGGAGCCTCGTGAAAGATGGGTGTTGTGGATCTAGGCAGGGACAGTGTAGTTCCTAGGGAGGGGGTAGTACTGAAGAGCAGAGCTTGTTCTGTGGTGGTTTTAGTAATTTATTATAGAAAATCACCTTTAGCGAGCTATATGGAGTGTACTCCATGGCATGAGGACATCCTTATGGTTTTATCTTTGCTGTTTCATCAGGAGTTCTCAGTTTTGTAGCCAAAGCTTTTTAGGTCCCTGAAAGCAATGCTTTATGCTCCAGAGAAGGGCAATAGCATACCTCTACCTCTTCATCTTCACTCTCATTCTCCATTTTCCAATGGTGCTTTTGGCCCAAGTTTTGCTCTGTAGCCAAAGAGCAATTCCAGTCTCATGGATGCGTACATTTACACAAGGGTCTTTTCATCCCTGTCAAAAGGCTGGCTCAACATTTGGTACTGGCTTCAGAGTGCAGTGTCCATGGAAAAAACAGGTATACCATTTGGAAAAGCAAGACTGGTTTTCCACTGTTGCTCTGTGGCTTTATTTTGCCCTCAACAATCTGTACAGGCAACTCTTACTGGGGGAGGAGTACCAGTGTCTCTCATTTTCGAAAGCAACAAATACAAATGTTTTCTTTTACTAATACTGCATTAAGCAGAATAGCAGTTAAAGCCATGAATTCTCCAATAATAAAATCACATTTTTCTTACTGTAGATAACATCGCATCAGAACTGGAGAATTTTATGGGTCTGATTGAGACAGTAACAGGGTATGTGAAGATTCGCCATTCCCATGCATTAGTCTCCCTATCTTTCCTGAAGAACCTGCGGTATATTCTGGGAGAGGAACAGGTGGACGGGTAAGTGTTCAGATATTTGTAGATGCAATTTCACTTTAATAGAAAGCCGTAGAGAATAAGACTCCTAATAAACATTCATGTACCATTTATAGAATCTTCTCTTCCACTAATATGCAGCTTTTTTCTCCTAATGAACACCACTGCACAGTCATTGCTCATTTGGATTACTATCCCAATCAGCATATTAAATTGAGTATATTTAAAGTATTGAGTATATTTCTATGGTAACTTTGTTGCTTTTCACTTTAGGTTTTTCTAGGGAAATTCTTTACATTGATAAATTGTCTTCGTTTGTTCTTTTTGCCCTGAGAAAAGAACATCTTCAGAAAAAATTGGATTTTCTTGCAATTCTTTACTGCTTTTAGCAGAATTTTATGGAGAATATCAGCTGAAAGGAAACCTGAACTTTACTAACCTGGGAGTGCAACTGGAAGTGACCCAACTATTATGAAGTAGATTGCAAGTTGCCATTGTTTGCAACTCCTTGAAATGCTAACATGAAATGAATTACCTATCAAGCAGGAAAAAGACCGGTCAGGAAATGTAAAGTTGATCCCTTGAAATGTTTGCTGTGGGTTATATTGCTTCTATAATTACACGATGTGTGATACCGTTTGCTGTATGTAACTCCTGTTTTCCTATGATAGTAAGAAATAGCTGAGACACAGGTTTTTATCTCCGCAGAACTTGCAGTGCTGAGGTGTGGTGGTAGTCCTTCAGCCAGCTGCCTTGCTCTCTCTCTTTTCCTGAATCATCCCAAGTTTAAACCAGTGTTCTCTGGGAGAAATAAGTCTCCCTCAGTAATGAGAGAACTATTAAATGAAGCATTTGGGGAAATTATATAAGAAAAGGTGGTGGGAGGGTCATGGGAAAGGTTGCTTGTGTCTGATTTATCTGCCCTGACAGGATAAAGTTACAGCATGAGGGATTCTTCACAACCTCCCTCTTTCTCTCAGGCTAGTCTTTGGTCAGCCTTAAATTCTTAAAATTCCACCATCTGACAGAGTGAGTTAAAGGGCAGCTCTTCATCCTGCACTTGAAAAGCACTGTCTTTTTTATTAAGAACATTGGCTCTACGAAAAAACTTGTTTCTAATTACAAATCCCAGAGGCTTGTCGCATTGCCGAGCACAAGGCTCATTCAGCCCACCTGCGATGTGGTGTGCTCTCACAGATACTCCGATTATTGATTAGCCTTTTCTTCTCTCCCACTCACTCCCTTGCTCTATTTAAATTTGAGTTTAGCTTTGTGTTTCAAGTAGTGATGATGTTTATGGTACCTGGTGTGTCAGCAAGCAGAGCTGATGTGAAGGGAAGTGCCAGGTTTTTAGATCTGATTCCCAAGTAGAGAAGTAAATGGTGTAACTTTGAAGAGGAAGACGGGGCCAAGTGGGGGAGGTAAAGTAGACGTGTAGTAAAGAGCTATGTGTGCTAAAATTCACCTGTGCTAGGAAATTACTGCAGTTACATACTTCGGGTCTGGGACAGTCTCTTTGCTTGGAAAATGCCTAGCATAATTTAGGCATTACCACAGTCTAAATAACGTTTCCAAAAATACTAAGATGGAAGTAGGCACCTGGCAAGGAAGAACTGAACTTGAACAATATCTTTGGCAGAGTTAGGAACGACAGGGAGTGGGGTCTTAACCTGGGAAGTACTGGGCTGCTGGAACAAATGGCCAGTTTATGCCAGCATTGCCGGGGTTTTGAGGGGGAGGTTACCTTAAGATCTTGTGATAGCTGTTCAGTACACACCTGACGCCACCACCACCATCCCTTTTTTTTTTTTTTAATTGAACTGGACTAACAAAACAGTACTTCAGTATTTCTTTCTTCCTTACTCAGTTGCTGGTGCCTGCCTTCGTTATCATACAAAATGGGAAGTTTAGAGGGAATTTACTTTGTTAGTTTTCAGAGTATTCATTGCCTCTTTTGAGCACCATGTCCCTAGTGAACTTGTTCCCACGGCAAGACAAGCATTTCTCTTTGCAAACAGGGAAACTGAGGTGGAGATGTGTTGGATCTCGGTGTCTGTGGCAGGATTTTGATTCCTAGCCTGGCGTTCACTCTGCCAGGCCACTCTGTCCTCTGCTGAGGTGCTGCGTGTTCGTTGCTGTCATCGACTGTAGCTGCCATGTGATGGATGGCATGTGGGCAGCGCTTCTCAAAGCATCTCCAGGTTGGGTACCTGGAAAATGAGCAGTTTGTGGTCTTCAGGAGCAAGCGAGGTGATGGTGGCTGAGGCAGAGTTCCTGGTGTGGCACCGACTGGCTGCTGTTGTTGTGTTTCAACTTCTGCAGCAAGTTGGGGACAGTCTGTATAAAAACAAAACAACACCCCCGTCTCCTACGTCATTTTGAAGCAGAGGCGTCGGTAGCTATCAGGCTTGTTGGAAGGTGTGAACGGGATCTCTAGCTCTCGTATGGCTCCTCACTGAAGATGCTACAGTTTGTTTTCCTGGGATCATTATTGTCAGATTATGGTGGATTCAGACAGTCAGCACAATATCAGCAAGGTTTGTTCTAGCCACAGCATTTCAACAAAGCAGTCACCCTGTGTGTGAGTCTTTTAGGAATGAGTAACGCCCTCCGGGCTGGTGGTAAACATGGGTGGTGAACATGTCTACAGCAGCAGGCTCCCATGGGGAATGCTCCTCAGCTTTGTCTTTAAGGGGAGTCTCCAATGATGCCGTTCCTCAGTTGTCTATGTGTAAGTGAGGTTTCAGAAAGTGAGTTGGGGAGTTTGTACGCTGTGGCGTGAGGCTGGGTTTCTGTGAGGTTTCTCTTTTGAGAAGCTCATCAGTTTACCTTTTTGAACCGGACAAGAAAATACTGAACTTCAGTAAGTTCAAATCCATGGATTACTATAAAAGCCCCTAGTTTCCTACCCATGCATTTGTTGGTAGAGATGCAATTCTTGGCCAAAATCAGCTGTTTCTAAGTTGCTTACAATTTACATTAACCAGGTGTGCACAAGTATCTAATAGAGACAGATACTCTGTTAACCATCTCAGTGGTTCTGTTTGAAGTGGGTAGGCAAACACAAGCAAAAGAATACACCAGTGTTATTAAAACATTAGCAATGTTTTGGAAATTTGATAAAGTTCAGGCTTGTAGAGGAATGCTGCAGAACAAACTTACTTAAAGAGAGACCATCAAATGGAGCATTTTGTTCAAGTATTGTCCTCTGCATTGGTCTCCATTGTGGTGGTGTGCTATATATGTTGTTGGGTCCTCATCAGGGATCAGGGTCACACTGTGATACAGGTGTAGAACATATACCATATTAATAGACAGTTTTTAGCCAATGTGTGGCATGTTTTGTGTATGTAAAGCAATAAGGGTTTTCCTTTTCTCCTCTCTCTTACTGGTTGATGTCCCAGCTATCTGGTCTGGTAGGATTTTCTAGTTGAAGGAAAGCTGTAAATGAGTAGTATGTCAGCTGCTTATGAGCCCCATGGTTTGCCTGCTGTGTTACTCTGCAGACTCTGACCGTAGCTGAAAGGATGTGTAGAACGCCTAGTTTAACTGCATTGGCGTGGGCTTACCAATGCAAAATGGCTTGCAGAAGTTGCAAGGCTTCATTGTGTTAATAATGGATTTTATGTTGATGTAGTTAACGTTGGTGGGACTTTCCACAGAAGAGTATAATAAATGCTGCCGTGACGGCTTGGTTTGATTCAGGTTCATCAGCTACACAGACCTTTAACTGATTTCCCAGTTGTGCATTCTTGTCCCTACTATCCCAAAACGTGTCTTTGCAGGTGGTGTCTTGCTGCTGATGTAGAGCCTGTAATCTTGCTTTTGCTGTACCTGTTTTTTTTCCGATTCAGCACAATTGAGTGGTACTGGGAATTTCTTCTTAATATATAATAGGATTTACACACACAATTTTGCATTTAATACCTGTGGAAATAAAGGATGTTCATGTTATTTCATTGCTGTGCTTAGGGAATGGGCTCAGCACACGCTGCTGCCTGTGGTGTTAGTTCTGCACTTTGAAGTGTGGATCCTGTGCTGTGCAGTCAGTGCAACTGTTTACTGTCAGGTTTTGATGTATAGGTGCAACTGCGCTTGGCATAATGTAAGAAATCTTTATTGGGCCAAGAGGTAAACTAAGACAGAGAGGCAAGGAATCTCACTATGCAAACTCTTACAGTTGCTTTTGTAAACATAAGCAAGACAGCTGTGCTCATGATTGTATTTTATTCTCCGAAGTGCACCATGCTTTTCCTCCCATAAGGTATGTAAGGTTATTGCTTCTCATTTGCCACAAAATGGAAAATCCAGTGTAGAGACCTGCTGTTTAGAGGACCTGAATTTATATTCCTCATAGCAGCTTCTATACAATTATTAAAACACATGTTGGAGTGGGCTTTACATGGTGTGGTGTCAGCCTTGGAGTCCTGTGTTACAGTCATTTCCCTGCCCTCTGACCAAAGTGAGCATTCAGGGAAAACTTGCACCATGGGAGAAAAGAAAACTCTTTACTACTGAACACCAATTTAAAGTAATAAGAAGAAACATAGTGTTTTAGTGTTTGCTTATATTAAGGTATTTTTGGTTGGAATTGGCTATGAATTAAAACTAATATTTTTCCTTCAAAAATTTCGTTCTAGGAATTATTCCTTCTACGTGCTTGACAACCACAATCTTCAGCAGCTGTGGGACTGGAACCATCATAACTTGACGATCAAGGAGGGGAAAATGTATTTTGCATTTAATCCTAAACTGTGCGTTTCTGAGATTTACCGTATGGAGGAAGTTTCAGGAACAAAGGGACGACAGAGCAAAGGAGATATAAATCCAAGGAACAATGGGGAGAGAGCCTCTTGTAAGTAAATAAACAAAATAAAAAAATCTTGAGGCAAACTGTACAGGAGGGTGTCACAAAAAACCCAAACCAACACACCGCCACGTTGCTGACCGTTACAATATTTAGAAGTTAGAAATTACAGTAGGCTTTCAGTCATCTACTTGTTCAGTTTTTAAAATGTAGCTGTGAAAGTATGTTTGCATGCCTGGAAAATTATGTGGTTACATAGTGACTATCTCATCTGTAAAAACCATTTGATGAAGACCACTGCTTTCCAACTACCCTGTTTTGTGACAGCAGCATCATATAACAATAGGAACATACCTGGAAATGAGAAATAAAATCTAGCATTTTGGTATATCCAGCGAGGAGCAGTTTCTCTGTTTCCTTCACAAATGAGCATCATTATGGGTATTTTCCTCTCCAATACCTACTCTTTCTTGATACTAAGGAGACTGCTGATTAACAATTCCATAGACACCAAAACAAACTGTTTCTGTTATATTCAATCTTCTTTTCAGCTCCTGACAAATATTTTACCTTGTTGCTAGAAATGCTTGTTGTAAACTCAATTTTCTGTGCATTACTTTTGAATTACTTGCTTTTGAATTGAGAACACCTGTTAGTGTTCTACAGTATTCCTAAACTTCAGTGTCTCTGCACTGAAGCTTGGATTCTGCAATGGTCAGAGTTATTGGAAAGTCTTCTTTTGGCTTTGGTGGTCTTCACATCAGGTCGGCAGGTGTAACACAACACATTTAAAAGCAATCTCTCATCTAGGAATTAAGATGATAGAGTGCTTTACAAATTTGACCTCACACTCAAACTCCTAGAACTGACAATGCATTTTTCTTTGGTCTATTTGTGGTGTTCTTGGAGCTGAGTAAATTAAAATAGATCTTGTGTATAAGTCAAGTCCCCTTGTTCTGGATGGTGTTTACAAAACTAGGACACGTACTCTGCTGAATGTCTCTTTAGGCATGATGCATAAATGCAGATGGCATAGATCCTTGTTGTAAGCACACTCCATTCTTTGCACATTCAATAGAGCAAAGGCTTGCAGTCCTGGAGGAGTTACAGACACACAGCCAGTCCTTACTACCACTGAGGCTAGTGCCAGCCGCTGCCTGTTTTTTTAAAAAACCATTACAGAAAGCTTTCTGACTCTGAGAAGGGGAAAAGAATCAACAAAAGCTAAACTGCCTTTGAAAAGATAGCACCAATAGTGCCAGTGTACGAGGGTGAAAACCCCTTTATTTTCAGAGACTGCTGTGGAACGTTAGAAACTAACTCACAGTTGACACTTAGAACACAATTTCTTCATCCAACAATTAAGTTTTTAAAATGCTACTTTGTTTTGGATTGGAAAGCTCGGTGCTTTGTGGTAGTGGGAAGCTGTTCATTTCAAAGCTGCCAGCTTCCATCCAGCTCTGTTCAGAAGTGTAGCTGGAAGCTGCTGCCATCAAATGGTTGTGCTGTATATGAACTGAGTTTTGCAGTTCTTGGTCCAGCCCTTCATGAATAGGTATGTGAACTCCTTTGTCCATTCCCCAGAAAAACAAATTGTAGTTGTCCAAAGTTGTGCTGGAAAGTGAGAACACAGAGGCCAGTTACTGCTCTGCATGTGTGTTGGAGTCGGATGATGAATTTAGTGCTTCTAAACCCATCCTGTGAATAAACAGGACTTCCATCCCTCGCTCAGGGAGAGTCTGAAGTAGTTTTCAAGAGCTTTCTGGTGATGCATTAAAAGAAAATCTGCTTCAGAAAAAATAACAAGAAGTAGCTCCAACATACTCTAAAATGATTGCCAAGGTCATTGCTTACCCTTAAGCACTCAAATGTAGTGGGATAAAATAGGAAGCTCTACAGAGATGAAGGCTGTTGGCATACTGTGGTATTGTAGACACTACTGGAAAGGCTAATTAGCTAAAACTGATACCTAAGAAATAGCAAAAACTAATAGGTGATGTGATGCTAACTCTGTCATGTCTTGTCTTTTTGTATTGCAGGCGAAAGCCACATTCTGCGTTTTGTTTCCAACACTACGCTCAAGAATCGGATTAAGCTAACATGGGAACGGTATCGCCCTCCAGATTATAGAGATCTCATTAGCTTCACTGTTTACTACAAAGAAGCGTAAGTAGATGTCATCAGAGACTAACTGGGACAGTCCAAGAGATGGTAGACTATTCTGACTTTTGGTTTACCAGTGAAAAAAGTTAGTCAGCAAAGTCCTGCAGGTAGTTCCTGTTTCATGCAGTTCACATATTTCATCCTGAAGTCCCACTTTTGTATGAATTCTTTTCTTGGTGGAGCACAGACCCCCTTTAAAAAGAGAATTGTTTTGATTGAAGCCTACGAATGAATTCCAAATCCATCAGGAAAGTTCAAATTTGGGGTGGGGAGGAGATACATGGCTTGGCTGTTGTGTTGCAACTTATGAAAAGTAGAACTGTATAACTATATAAGTGTGTTTATATAGTGTTGAAATAAAGGGGGGGGAAGCCTGTTGGGCTGGTCAAGGCCAGTCATGGAAGTTTAGGTTCTTCATGGTAAAAAGCTCAGCCACTATCAATAACTGTTTTGAGGTGTTTCTGTTTCATATCTGCTTAGTTGAAGTCTAAATATGTCTGAAGCATTTCACAGTCTGTTTTGGATAAAAAAAAAAATTAGTGTTTCCTTGGAGAACCTTGCATTATTGCTAGTGACTGAAGGCAAGACGTACAGCTAAAGCTCAACTCTGAATTTTGTAGTGCTTGGAAATAAGTAAGAGTTTTATTCTGTTTTATTCTGCTGTGGAAAAGAAGTAAGCTTTATTTGTTTTGTTGAGCAACATTGAAGTGAGGCACTCTCATAACAATTTTTAGGAGAAAGTAAACATTTTGTACTACTTTTTTCTTTTAATATTTCAGACCATTCAAAAATGTGACAGAGTATGATGGGCAAGATGCATGTGGCTCCAATAGCTGGAACATGGTCGATGTTGACTTGCCACCGAACAAAGAGAACAATCCTGGAATTTTACTGCAGGGATTGAAACCTTGGACTCAATACGCCATTTATGTCAAGGCTGTTACCCTCACAATGATGGAAAATCATCATATTCATGGAGCAAAAAGTGAAATTGTATATATACGAACCAATGCTGCAGGTGAGATGCTGGGCTCCTGGGTAAGAGGTTGATAGCGCTGCAGGTATGCTGCTTATATTATTACGCAAGTTCTGTTGTTAATACAGAAATTGAATTTATGTGCAGATGAACCTAGAAAGTTTCAGTAATTATGAAAGCATTAAGATTTGAAATTAAACTCTGGTTGTTCAGACATTCTTGTCATTGGGCACTATGGGAGTTTTTTGTAGTTGGGATTTCAGACTTTCTTCCGTTGGTGACGGTAAATTTAAGTGCAACTTCGGATTGGGACTGTAGGTGGTTGCAGTTGAACCCTTAATAACCGTTGCTGGGGCATAAGTAGGAAATCTTTTCTTTGAAATAGAATGGTGTTTTTTCTTGAATTGGGATTCACTTTGACAGCTTGCATCGAAATACGTTGTAGAATGCTCTAGATTTAAATGCCTGCCTTTTTTTTTTTCTTCTTCTTTTTCCCCCTCCAGTGCCATCCATTCCCTTGGATGTTATTTCAGCATCCAACTCCTCATCCCAACTGATTGTGAAATGGAATCCTCCTTCTCTTCCCAATGGCAACCTCTCATACTACATCGTACGATGGCAGCAGCAACCTCAGGACAGTTACCTTTACAGACATAATTACTGCTCCAAAGGTAGGAAAAAGAAACATGGTTGTGTTGAAATGCCTCTGACTCTTACCTGCCAGCGCACTTTATTTACAAGAGCTAAAGCCTATGCCCTGCTTCACAACTCATTTGTGAATAAAAGCAAGTAGAAGGGAATGAGTAAACATGGATTATTGTTGCTGTATTCACAATATGGAGAGAAAAGAAACAAGCCACCTTTGTTCTATTCCTTTAAGATAAAGTCCCAATTCGAAGGTATGCTGATGGGACCATTGATACAGAAGAAGCTACTGAACCCACCAAGCCAGAGGGCTGTGGGGGAGAAAAAGGACCTTGTTGTGCTTGTCCCAAGACAGAGGCAGAAAAGCAAGCTGAGAAGGAGGAAGCAGAGTACCGGAAGGTCTTTGAGAACTTCCTTCACAACTCCATCTTTGTCCCCAGGTAATGGATTTTGGTCACTTTCTCTTTGCAAGTAGGGCTAATAATTAAATTTTTTAATGTTTCCTAGAGCTCAGGCTTCCTGGACATGAAAGCATATGTAGGTAACACTTGAAACAAATAAACATTGCCTTTCCTTTTGTGAGACAATCCACAGCCTTACCTTGCAGTTTCTCTTCTTCACTGATTATCATCTCTTTCTCTCAATTTTAGCTAATAGTGAGGGTTCTTACTATATTGTTCAAGGACTTCAGTGATGGTTTCTTTTCAGAATCAAGAGTCACTTGAGCTTTTTGTCTATAAGGGTTTCAGAGATGAGCAACATGTGGCAGACAAAGGGTTTCAGATGTGATCTTTCTCTAAATAGCCATTTAAGTGCTTGTGTTCCTAATCTGAAGATTTATTTATTTGCCTTTGAAATTGAGGGCATAGTCACCTCACAGAATTGAAACTGGTCTTCCTTTCTCACTACACTAATTGCAAAGGGTGTATTGGTTTCCTGGGTCCGTGCTGCAGAGAAGTGTTAAATATGCCCACTCTTCCATGATAAACGCTGCTGCTTACACATTAAGTGCAATAGTAACGATTTTATGCTGCAGCATAGAGTAGATACTACTGAATTAATTGGTGATTTTGATCCTTGCGTTTCCAATTTATCCTTCATGTAAGCCATTCTTACATTAGATAATTGGATCCTGGGGCCTAGCACAACATGTACAGCTGTATGGTACAGTCTATAAGCAATCAGATTTCAGTTGTGCGTGTTATCTCATTGTCTCTGGCAGGTGAAGTTTGTGGTGAAGTCCTGTGCTTGAGAACTTCAAAGTGTGGCTTTGTTACTCATTAAAACTGCTTTATTTCACTCTCCATTGTGATTTTTGGACCTTTATTCAAGGATGTGTTGGATTGACTTGTTTGTGGTTGGGACTGTGATGTGTGCAGAGCTTCTTAGCTTTGTCCAAAAAATGAGGAACTAAATACTGCCTCTTTTTGGAAGTGCGAAGTATTGTATCCGAGATGTGTTTGAGTCGTATTTAGCATTTGTGGGTGAGCTTGTGCAGTGTTTCCCTACTGACGATGAGAACCAGCAGCAAAGATGAGGTTCAAGAGAAGTAACAGCCACTATGATTGTACAGGATGTAATTTCTGAGCAATGTGAAATCTTGTGATCTTATCTTGGACTTTATGAAATAGCAAGGAGTTTTGAAAGGCATGTGTCAGGTCTAAACTACTTGAAAGTGTATTACAAAGGAATTTTTTTATTTCACCAAAGCTTTGTTGTTTAAAATGCATTATCTTCTCCCAAATTTTTTTGCATTCCCCTCCTGCCAGAGGAAACTCACAGAACCTTGAACTCGGACAGTAGCAAATAAACTAAGCAGTTCACAAAGAACTTCCTGGAAGCTTGACCATCTCCCAGTTTTCTTAAGTTACTGTCATAAGGGTGTTTTAGTAACAGCAAGGTCAGATAAGGTACAACACTCGGAAGCAGCTGCATAGCTAAGCAACTTTAAAGAGACTGTATGTCAGGGAAATTAAACATTACAAGCTGGTGAGACATCTCCATAGGACAAATCTAAGCAGCTCATTCCTTGCTGATGTGGTTTTTTTCCCCTCTTTCCCAAGGGAGAAGTTAATTAATGTGTTAATGCAAACCTCAATAGTAGTATTTGTTTCCAGTGCTCTACCTGTCTCCGGGATATTATGAAAGAGATGCAGCATGTAATACAGCGTGAAAATGTTTGACTGGGTGGTTTGAAGGTTGTTTGAAAAGCCTGTTGATCTAATCTTGTGTGCAACTTCTGGATGACCCCGTGTGTATTACTGCAGCGGTGAGCTGGATTTCAAACATTAGGACTATGGTTAGTCTTGCAGAGACACTTGCAACCACAGGAGGATGAGTTATTCTTCAAGTTTTTTGGTTCTCTAGTAAGCAGGATGAAACGGGCTCCATGTGTAGTATAACATATCTGAGAAGTAATATTAAAATTGCCATAAAGTATCAGACAGCTTTTATGTTAAATGACCCACTTTTTTTGTTTCTTTTTAATTTCTATTTGATTTAATTTTTCATAGTATTATCTTCTAATTTTTCTCTTGCATTTCTCTTTCCTTCCTCTCATTTAACAGAATAGATGAATTTTCATGTTTTTCTCTAGACTTTTCCTTATTTCCTTGGATGCTTGTTTTTTGTCTCTTCCTGATATGACTGTAGTTTTCACCAAGAGGTTTTGTGTTGCTTTATCTTTTTCCCCAAAGGACTGTACCTTGTTTTTTGTTTGTTTTTGTTACCCCAAATACAACCAAAGAGTTGAAACTTCATGCATCCCATAAAAGCAGTGATAGACAAAGTCATGCCTTTTGGGTTCTTGCATTGGCACATGCTGTTGTGGTTGATTGAAAAGGAACACTTTATTTTCACTGCTTTTATCACAAAATCTGTGCAAATGTTCAGTGCTGGGCATCCTGTGTGTTTTTAGGAGTTCAAAAGTTTGTTCTTTCCACTGAATTAAAGCAAGAAATTAATACTCATCCTAAGCAAGGTGAATAGCTTTAATAACTCCCATAAATATCAGTGTAGAGGAGGCTCAAGTGCTTACATCTCCTATGAAATTCCCCCCGTACCCCACTGACAAGTTACAACATTCACTTGTACGTAGCTCAGACCACTTTCTTGATAACTTAGGAAGTTTTTTCCTTGTCTTCGTTTGTTTCTGTGCTGTGGTTTACATGGCATCTGAGAGTATCAAAAAGACTACTCAAGACATAGTAAAAGGATTTTGGAAAATTTTGTAGTGAATTCCTAAAAAAAATTTCATCCAACCTCTGCCAGAAGATTTCAAAACCAAGTCAGCCTATTCTTGGCTTTCTGTGCAGCGTGCTGTTTTGTGGCTGAATGTACTGAGACGGTATGTTTGACAGTGAATTAACTTCTCCTGTTGAGTCATCTTTCTTCCTGTTGTGTGTGTGAGGGAGGCTTGATTCGGCTGGTTTTTTACTTGCTCTGATAGAAATGTGTTGGACTCCACCTTTGTCCTTGATAACCCTTGCACTGACCAGGTGCTAAACGGGCACTGGCAGAGTGATTGCAGGTGGGATATGATTGAAGCCAAAACTGGTTTTGTAGTGTGAATCTTCTTACATTCTCCTTTAACTCCCCCAGTGCATTGCTTTCCAGGCGTGAGCAGTCCTGCAGACTATGAAGACTAGGAAAGCAGGAGCTGGAGAAGCCAGCTTGCTCTCTGTTGTTACTGCCTCTGTGCAAATTGGCCTTGGATCTGACACAAGAGCAAGTGACAAGTCTAACGTGTGGCAATCATGTCTCGGTTAGCTAGTACCATCCAAGTGTTTGTAAGAGTATTTTCGTACTGACACTTGCACTTACACTCAGGCCTGTCCACTACAACAGTTTCTTACACTTGAGAAAGTCGTGGTGTTGCTCTAAATCCTCAAGTTTTTAACTCTGCATAAATTTCAGGCAGATGCCTGTAAGGCCAAGCAAAGTTGCTCAGTGAACTCTTTGCTATAAGCAGTATTAGTGCTGTGTTTTCTCGTGCAGGAAGATTGTTCCTTTTTAGAGCTTTGGTTTGGGTGAGAGAAGTAGACACACTTAAATTAGCACACCTTAGTGGAGTGGTGGGTAACATCCATGGTTTTCAGCTATCTTCCAAGGTTTCTTTTCTCAGTGCAGTACATTAAAGTTCTGTAATTTCCTTGCAACTGAAAAGGAAGTTAAGCTGACTGAGAGTTAGCTTTGCTAATCCAGCAAACTTCAAAACAGTGTTTTTCCTAACCTTTTTAACCTTTAACATCTGATTTTTATTTTTAGCGTCAACATTACTGTCATTAAATACAAATCTAGGTTGCTTGTTGAATAACAGTGAAGCCATTTTTGCTATTCAGTTTATTGTGAGAGGTCAGAAGTTTGTACATTTATCTTGGGGCACATGGTGAGCTTCAGAGTTTTGACTAGTTTCTGACCAAAAGAGAGAGCAATAGGATGTGCACGCATGCGGCAGGTTCAGATTAAGAGAAAACTTTCATCTTGTTTTGCAGTTTATTTAGCTTTTTTAATAGCAGAGTTACATATTTTACTGGATTTTTTTGCACAGAGCTGGAGGAAAAGCGGTGTTTTGCTAAAGAGACCTTTTCTATACCTGTCTGTTTGCTCCACAGACCTGATCGGAAGCGGAGGGATGTGTTCCGAATCGCAAATGCCACTTTGGCCACTCGAAACAGGAACGTGACTGGGACAGACCACTTCACCAATGTTTCTGACGCAGAGGAGAGTGAGGTGGAATACCCGTTCTTTGAGACCAAAGTGGATGGCAAGGAGAGAACTGTGATCTCCCATCTCCAGCCTTTCACTCTTTACCGCATTGATATCCACAGCTGCAACCATGAAGCTGACACACTTGGTTGTAGCGCTTCCAACTTCGTCTTTGCAAGAACCATGCCTTCAGGTATGCTCTCACAAGTATAAAGCTTTCTTTTATTTTCTGGAGAGAGACCAATCTCAGGGAGGACAAACCCTCCAAAACCAGAAAAACATTGGGGTATAATAAAAAAATTGTATGCAAGATGAACTGGAACTATATAAAACTTTGTTACAGTAGTTTAATGTCCTTCACTGGTCTCTCGTGTGTACTGAGCGATGCGTATTGAGTCTGTCCTGTGATGTGGAGAAGGGTAGAAGTGTGTGCGTGAGTACCAAGATAATTGAGAGAATCTGTTTCCCAGTGATGTAGGTGAGCCCCACAGATCTGGTAGGTTTTATTCTTCAGTTCCCTGTGTGCTGAATGGAGACAGGGGAACGTTTCTCTGCTAATGTTTAGTTTTGCTGTGTTCACTCTGAACTGTTTGCAGATGTTAGAGTTTTGCTGGTGGGAACATTTGCCAAATGTTTCTTCTGTCACAGAAGGACCATGCATTTGTCCAGCCTGGAAACAGGAGGAGTACTGTGTTGCTTTGTGCCCAATCGCCAGCATCTAGAGTACTTCAAATAGGAAGCATTGAATGCTGTACTCGTGTTTGGGACTTCTACAGATTGTACTTCTTCTGAGAAGAATAGAGATGATTTTAGTGTAAGCTCATATGCATCCAGCAAAGAGCTTCTGACTCCTGCAGATGTCTGGGAATTTTTGATGCAGAATGGTAGCAATTTTGTTTTGTTTCTGGAAGGAAAGACTATCATAATCCAGATCCAGCTGTGTCAGTAAAAAAGCAAAAAGCATTGCTTATTTCAAGGAAATGGGAAAATCTGTGAGATCAGGCAAAAGGAAATAAGTATTCTCAGGTTTTTAGCGCATGGCTCTGAAAATTAAAGGCTAAACAATTCTGTTTTCCTCTAAACCTAACAACTGTATTTTTGAAAAAGTGGCCTTTTTTCTTTGACTGAAACGGTCTTCATATTCCTGTCAAGCTTTGAATAAAACATATAAAATTATCAAGAATGAACTAGAGATAAAGCAATTCCTGAATTGCTGATGAGACTCCATTTTAAACTGTGACAGATTTCCGAAGAGTGGATGGTTTAGGAAAGGGATGTCAGTGGGTCAGATCTCATCTGTTTACAGCGATTTGGTGGTTACACCGTTTTGGTGCAGCGGAAAGTTTGGAAGGAAGAACAAGGTTCTGAAGCAGACAGGTAGAGCGCGGTGACTAACACAGAGCCTGTAGCAGGTGAAGCTCTATGCACCGCACTGTTTTTCTGGCAATCAGCTGTTCAGACTCCGCTAATCTCTCCAGCAGGCCCCTGGCCAATGCACTTTGTTCTCTGGGTCTCTGAATAGCACTTACTGCAGTGCTTTGGTACCCAAAGAATAGTACGAACCTTTTATTTTCCTCAGTTGTTGCGTAAGTTCCTGTTTCAGTAATAGGTGTTCTTCTCACATCACTTGTAAATATTTTACAGAGGGAGCAGATAACATTCCAGGAACGGTAGCATGGGAAGCAAAAGAAGAAAATACCGTTTACCTGAAGTGGTTAGAGCCTGCAAATCCAAATGGGCTGATACTGATGTATGAAATCAAATACGGGCAGCATGGCGAGGTGAGGGTTTGACATTTCTCTGTTAAGAGTTAGTGCTTGTAACTATAATTTGTACACAAAATGGGATCTTTCTTAACATGCTTCTGTGTGGTGCTGCAGACCAAAGATAGGAATTGTGATTTCAAACACCCAGCACTGACCAACATGCCAGTCCTTTGTTTCATTTATTTTGACAATTATTTTTTCCACATACCTCCATAAAGTGTTTGAAGAAAAACTGATCAGGTGGGGCTTTTAGTTATAACCATTAGCTTATCCTGCAGTCGTATTGTTTTCTCAAGAATAAAGAAATGTTGAGATATTACAATGAACTGTAAATTGCTTTTTTTCTTGTAGGAGAAGCGGGAATGTGTTTCCAGACAAGAATACAAGAAGCTAGGAGGAGCTAAGCTGACTCATCTGAACCCTGGAAACTATTCTGCTAGAGTTCAGGCCACTTCATTAGCTGGAAATGGGTCATGGACTGAGCCAGTCTCTTTCTATGTGCAACCCAAATGTAAGATGAATGTTTGTTGGCTGTGTCAAACTGGGGGACTATTGTCTTTTTAATAATTCCTGATGTTTACATATGTAATTGGGCATATAATCTTCTTGCCTGTACTCTGAATACTCCTCTTATTTGCTGGTGCTTCCTTGGGAACTCTGTTCCATTTTTTGGCAAATGTTGACAACCAGGAGATGTATCGGAGGTGTGGTCCTTCTCTTGCATGCATTGTGTGTATATATATATATATGAGAGGTGCAACTAGGTCGTGGGTGTGTAGAGCACACTACTGTGGCTTCCTGTGGTGTACAGCTCCTTTGGGAATGTAGTGTTAGCCGTAATGACCTGCGGCAAATTGTACAAAACCTGTGGCAATAAGGCAAACCTGCTTTAAATTGCAAAATAATACAAGAAACAAATAATATTTTTAGATTTTTGGCTGGCAGGTTTTTTAAAATACCAAGATACTTTTTCATATTACCTGTTCCAAGTGATATTTGATAAAAGATAATGTCCTCATGAAAGGGTGATGCTGGTCCTGACAATGGGAGTAATTTGTATTTTGGAAGAATACCACCACAGTGTCCACAGGGACCCTCTCAAGAACTTCCGTATTTGATCGTAGAGCAGATGTATCCACAGAAAACTGGAACTCCATCTTTTATTCTTTTCTGGTTTTCTAATTGCTGGACTTTGAAGAACTGGAAGTAAAGAACAGTGTGTGCATATTCTGAATATAAGTATAAGCAATTGCAAGGTAAACAAAAGATGGAAAAAAGGTGAATATGATAGTGAACAATTACATATTGTTCACTAGGAATGTAAGCCCTTAAGCATAACTTGTGAAAACAAACCCCGGACAAACACTGTTCTGTACAAATTAATATTTTTTGCTGTCTGTTTTCTTGTTCCACTCATCGGCAGTCAGGGAGTGTTTCTGAGTACATTTTTCCACATCAGACAAGAAAATGGGTACTTTGATTTCTTCCCTGCATGGAAATACACTGAGTGGGGTTTGAATGTTTCTTTGTTAATGGAGATTTTATAGAAACCCTGATACAATTGTTTTCTTGTTGGTTGCAGCAGCAAACTATGGAAACTTCTTGCACTTGATAATTGTGCTCCCTATTGCTTTCCTGCTCATCATTGGGGGATTACTGATAATGCTGTATGTCTTTAACAAAAAGAGGTGAGTTGTATATGCTTGCAGTTAAAACTGCAGGAGGGGAATGTTTATTTTCAAATCTGTGCCCATGGAGCAAGTTAGAAATTAAAAAGGGAAATGGCATTCAGAGGACTAGAGAAGCTAAAGTAGATTGTCTTGTTGGTGTTTAAAAGGAGGTGGTTTAGAGTTACCAGCAAGCATCTGGCTTGTTTGAGATATGAAGAGGCTTTTTATTACAGTATCATGTTTGAGAGGGAAGGGTTGTCAGGAACATATCCAGTGGGACAATGATGGCAGATGCTGAACCTATATAATCAGAAGCTTTGACTGAAATATGGGTCAATATAAATCATGAAAACTGAGATCACTGTAGGTTAATTTGATTTCTTGCAAATTCTAGAGGTTTTTTGAAGTCTTTACATCCACTTAAAAATTACATCCTGGACAGAGCAGTCTAGGGAACTGTTCTATTGATTTGTTTTCCTCAGTTTTGTTTTTTGTAACTAGTGATTTTTTTTTTTAATTGAAATACGTAATGAGAACTTACTGTTAAGTCAGTGCAAATTTTCAACCTTGCAACTTTCTAGGTACGGAGGATTTTTATTACACTCATATAAATAATGGTCACCGAGTATCCCATTATTTCCAGCTCCAATTCATCTGTGTGCAAACAGTACCAGTTCTCTCAAGCACTCCAGAAAGGGTTTTGTATCTAGTGAAATACAATACCTGCTTGGCCTTCCCTTGGGCTCTCCTAGGTGAAATGCCAGACAACTCAACCTTCTTTAAACTGTTGTTCTAGCCCACGAGTATGTTTTGTCTTTTGATTTTCTGAGATCTGATTGATAATTTTATCTCTACAGCCTGCCTCCTGCAAGAGCTCTCTCAGTGCTGAATAAATATGTCTTATTCTGAAAAATCAGCTCAGTACAATTGGGGTGGGTGGGTGTGTTTTTAAAATAAAATAGTAGAAACACTTATAAAATAGTTGAGTGGAATTCCCCATTAAAAACAATCTTGTCCTTTGCTAGCTCACTTCTCTCCCACGGTAGGTGATGTTAAAGTACATTCTCAGCCACGGATCTCCTGGGTGTATCACCATACAGTTGCCTTTCTTAAAGGAAGTTTACCCAGCAGCTAAAAGTACCGTGTGTTTATGCTTTTCTGGTGCTGATTTGATATAGAGAAAACTGCAGGTTTCCTGGGAAAGCTGTTCTGGGCTGGTTTCCCATTGATTATGTGAGGTAGCATAAGAACTTAGTTTGTCCTCTTTGTCTGAAAAGCTCTCCACATACAGTAAATAATATTCTGTCATTGAGCAAATGGTGGAAAAGCTGTAGAAGAGATGGTCTGAAATTTACTTAGGTTTAAATATTAAAAAAGAAAAAAAATATTTTGCAACAGGAACAGTGACAGACTGGGCAATGGAGTACTCTACGCTTCTGTGAACCCCGAGTACTTCAGTGCTTCAGATGGTAAGTGTGGCCTTGCACTTCTGATGCTTTTACTTTCATATATTCTGTTTGTGTCTGACTTTGAAAGTACAAAAACTCTAAAAGGGATGTTGTAAAAGCACTTTTTCTCTTTGTTTTAATTCGCACAGCCATGGAATCTGTCATTAATACATAAACGTCACCTGGCTATTGAAACTGGGGAGGTTTTAAACTTTTTCCTGTAATTTGTTCAGTTGAGGCACATTTGGATGCATTGGCTTCACTTTCAGATTGTCATCTAATCATCCAGTGATGCTTTCGCTGGAATGAAAGAAGAATTCATGAATTCATCATCTTTCGTGCTTGCCCTTTTAAGTCCTATTCTGACCTATCAGAACAAACCCACTGCTTGTTTCTATGTACTTCTCACGTGGAAAATAGTAACACACAAAACTAAACTATCTTCTCACTTCCTATCCCAGTAAAACTCTCCAAAAACTTTTCACAGTTACCGAAAGAGAAAATAATCAATGTTGTGGGCTTCCAGGTGTTATCACATGCAGAAACTTTGTGTTAAAATGAGCACGGATGTTTAATCCATATTTGTTTCTTTTGACATTTGGAGTGTAGATAAGCCCATTTTTCTCTAGCTGGCAAAACAGTTTTTTAACACTAGTTTCAAATTGACCTAATGTATTTGTGACTGATTTATATATTTGACAATGACAATATTTAGAGGTATTAGACTGTGGCAGCGCTTAGAGCCCAGCTGGTATATTTGTGTTGAGTGCTCTGCCAACAGAGTGAAATAATTGTAGTTCTGAAGTCAGATGTGGGGTTTTGGGGGGCATCTTTAATTTCTTACAGTTTTCTGTGGAAGACACAATGTGGATAATGCTAAAGTCTTTAAAACCATCTAGAAAATAAAAATTCTTTAAAAGAAAATCGCTGTTCCTAGAACAGCATGCTTCTTTTGCTTTCTGTATGTCTGTATTTTTTTCCTGTACTTCACTATTGCAGGAGGTTGTGCCTGCTAACGTGCAGATGAACTTCTTGCCAGTTCTTGTGTTGGCTGTCCCTGAGCAGCACCAGGAGCTGAATCCCTGGCAGTCCAGGGGTCCTCAGCACTGCATCTCCACAAAGCCCATGTGCTGGGATTGCTGTGGAATGGAGAACCCTGGAAATTCGGTTTTCTGGCTAGATGAATTGCTTTAAAAGTAATACAAATAGCAACTAGGTTCCCACTGGAACCCTACTTGCTAGATAATTTATCCCCCACCCCACATAGCGGTGTGGTTGTCCGTAATAAGCATGTGCCCGTACTGTACAGATTATGTACATGTGCAACTCTTCAAGTGCAGGAGGAAATCAGAACATCAGACGAACTTCCTTGAGGCATCAGTTCTTCTGTTTGTGGTTTAGTTTGCTACTGCTGTAGACTTCTTGCAGGAATAGCGTTTCCGAAAGCCCCAAGGAGGCTAATGGATTTAGCCAGAGTGGCAGAGGACTCTCTGTTACTTTTTACAGTGGCACTGTTAGGGTTAAGGGTCTGTCAGTGTTCATGCTATAATCCTCTATTTTTGCATCTTGTCATTTCACCCATCCAGAGCATGTGACACAACTGTCCCCTCCTTTGGTGACTGATAGGCGGTGGCATTGGTGACTGCTCAGATGTCTTATTGCTTGAGGCAGTCCTCCCTCCTGGCAGTCACCTTCTGAGATCTCTCTTCTGCCTCAGATCAAAGACTTGTAACAGAGCAAGTTCTGCCTTGACTGGTGCAACACTGTGTGTGCAAGCGATCAGACTTGTTTCATGCAAAGAACCTACTAGATGAGAGAGTCTGTTTCCCTTTAGTCATAAAATCAATCTGTTTATAGAGAATACAGCAGACACTAAACTGATACAGATGATCAAGTATGTTTGATGCCATCTGGAAGAATTAGAAAACCAAGGCTCCCAAGAATATCTCAAGCCTGAAGTATTGATTCAAACCTTTTCCCACCCTGGTTTTGTGCTTTGAGGTTCCTTATTTCTGTCCCATTATGTCAATACAATAGTGAGGCCCCTTCAAGTCTCATCTACACGTTTCTTTAAGATTTATTTGTATGCCAAGCATCTACCTGTCTTGGTATGGGAAAGACAGTGGGCTATTTGCATACGTCATGCAAGATCTCAGCATTGTCTAGTGTTGTTTACAATAAAACTGTTTGGGTAGTTGGCATTTTAAAGCGGTGAGTGATCACAGCACTTAGAGAAGTGGAACATCATGGCCTCTTCTTTCTCTCCTTAGTGTATGTTCCAGACGAATGGGAGGTGCCCCGTGAGAAGATCACCATGTGTCGGGAGCTTGGGCAAGGCTCCTTTGGAATGGTGTACGAGGGAATAGCCAAGGGAGTGGTGAAGGATGAGCCAGAGACCAGGGTGGCCATCAAGACTGTCAATGAGTCTGCAAGCATGCGTGAGAGGATAGAGTTCTTAAATGAGGCCTCGGTGATGAAGGAGTTCAATTGTCACCATGTGGTAAGTCATGACAATGTAGCAAGGCTGTGATTCATACACCCGTGGTGCTTACTGCACGAGGGTGTTCAGGGCACATCTTCACTGACCGATGCGTGAACTTGGGATTTTAGCTGCAACTCTGTGCAGCTTTATAATACTGTTCTTAAACAGGAGTCAGAGAGTGGAACCAAATCAACATTCAGACCTTTCCACAGGTTCACGGGTGTTTGGGGATACATATCGACATGAATAAATGATTACTACAGTTCAGTTAGCTGTATTTGTAATGGAATGTTTGTTTTTCCTCTTCAAGGTTCGGCTGCTTGGTGTTGTTTCTCAGGGGCAGCCTACGCTGGTTATCATGGAACTGATGACACGTGGGGACCTCAAAAGTTACCTGCGATCATTGAGGCCAGACACAGAGGTGAGTCACGAGTTGCTGGATGTTTTTTTTTATTTCTTCAGTTAGAATCAGCTTGAACGAAACAGTGTCACATTGGAAGCAGCCAGCAATTAGCCTTTCTTGCCCTTCCCCTTGAGCTCTAAGAACAAAACATGAGCTGCTCTGTGATTTGCAACACCTTTTTTCATGAGGTAGCTATTGCAAATAGCCCAGTGTACTGCATGGAATAGGTCCCTTCTTGTATTATTGAGTCCTGTTTTCCAGATTTAAATTAAATCTCTCATGTACTCTAATTTCTCATCAAGATGATAAACAACAAATTGGCCAGTTGAAGCATGCATGTTAGGATGATTGTTTCATGTTGTATATCCTGCCTGTTGCCTATGTTGGGAAGTAAAAATCTATTATCTTAGCTAATATGCATACTCTTAATATGTAGGCCATCAGTCCAACAGCTAAAATTGCCACGTGTGATCCAGGGTTTGAAGGGTAAAGATGACACATAGGTCACTTGCCACTGAAATCATAGTAGACTCTGTAGAAAATGAGCTCAACGTTTTTTGCCCTTGATCTAGAAATTCTGATGTGAATAACTTAAAGGAGCAGAACACGAGCACAGTATGTGCACAAGACGATGAATATGGTATAGGTGGAGGGCATTGCATGTAGTGAGAACAGATAGCTTAAGTGATCGAATACAGAAAACAAGCACACTGAATACAGCATTCAGTAAATGCCAGTAGGACTGTGGACCAAGGACTTGGTTAGCATTTATGATTAATAATGCTTCAGGTTATATTAAATAGTTATGGTTGAATTTAACAAACTTCGTAAAAAGGGACAGTGACATTATAAAGATACCACCAAAATGATGAGCTCTCTACTTGGGTTTCTGTCTTGTATGCTGGTTCTTTCTAAAGCAGTCTGTGATAGGCCTGTGCCTAAATTCCCTGTCGTCTTTGGTGTACAGTGTAAAGAGTTGAGCAAAGTCTTCTGAGGACCTGTATGAGGAGGCAGGCAGGATACTTCAATAGCGTGTAGATGGAGGGCTTGCCTGATCACTGGCTTTACCCGTAACTTAACCATGCAGCTTCCATACCTGTCTCTTCCTCCTGGGCATTCAACTCACATTGGTCCTTCTGGGCTTTCTTGGTTGTATCTTCTTGGCTCCCATAGGGTATGTTGCATTTGGCTCTTGGGAGCGTAGAAGTAGTGGGTATGGCTCGTTATCTCAACACAAAGTAGCACAGTTTGCAAGCGATGATGGGACTTGACATGAACACTTCCCACGGAAGCTGGGTAAGGGACCATTTAATCTCTGGACGGGGATGTCATAAACTTCAGTGACTTGATCTGTGTGGTTCAGGATCTTTGTCATTAGAAGAATTTAGTATATGAGGCCATGGTTTTGGTTACTCTGTCAGTGATGATTACCCAAGGGGTGTAAAGCTTGGGGGCAAATTCATACTGGTAAGGGATGGTGGAACTTAACTGATGGTGCACGAACACCTGAACTTCTTCATCCATGAGACTGAGAATGACAGAAACCATGGATGCTAAGGAGTAAATTTGCTTCAGAAGACATTGTCCCATAAGATTTTCTCCTATTTACAAATAGAAGTAATTCAAGAGACATCTGATGATGGAGAACTGGGGAACAGGAAATGCAATCATTTAACATATTCTGTTTTTTTGTGAAGATGGTAAAACAGTAGAAATCTCTAAGCCCTCTGCTTTGTATCTCAGAACTTGTGTGGCAGAAGGATGGACATTTAAGCTCCATAGGTGTAAGATAACATCCTTATACCAAAAAGTCTTTCTGGCTTCTATTCCTTAAAATAGAATGGCCCGTTACAGAACAGATGTTGTTTGTAACCCAGCTTGGTATGGCCACTTTTCCCACTAAGCAGATGCTATGGTGTACGTGAGTTTCTGTTTAGCCTGGATCATGTCAGGCTGAATTGTGAGAATGGGATTTAAAAAAAAAAAAAAAAAGGTATGTTACAGTTTGATATAGAAATAGTTTTTTCTTTCCCCCTTACCTGTTTTATCTTCTTAATCTTGCTCAGAATAATCCTGGCCAGGCACCTCCAACTCTGAAGAAGATGATTCAGATGGCAGGAGAGATTGCTGATGGGATGGCATACCTCAACGCCAACAAATTTGTTCACAGAGACCTTGCTGCAAGAAACTGCATGGTAGCAGAAGACTTCACAGTGAAAATTGGAGGTGCGCTTTCTTGACTTTTACACAAATGAAAAACATCATCCTGAAAAAATGAGCATCTTAGAAGGCACTTTAATTTTTTGAAAGCTGTTTGAAAGACCTTTTAAAACTTAGCTCTAGTTTAAATTTCTGCAGAATGAAATATGTTCCTTATGAAGGCTTGCTGTGATTTAAGACCTGTGAGCAGTCAACATTGAGTTGAAACTCTTGGAATACCTCTACTTGCTGTTGTTCCAGTGAGGAAATAGTATAGTGTGTGGGTTTAAAAAGAACTAGTGAAGCAGTGATTCGAGGTGCAGATGCTGCAGGCATCTGGGTGGATGGCACAGTTACCACTGGTGTGTCATTCGCTTTTCTGTTTATGCGCAAAAATAATTCCATCTCCTGTTTATTGATTCAAGAATAAGAATTTTAGGATTATTTTAAAGCAGATCTGATTTGGAAGGGGAACGTAAGGCTTGACTTCAGCTGGATGCTTTCCAGTCTGAACTGGAGTTCTGCTTTCCAGACAACAGAACGGCTTTTCCTCTGCTCTGCTGTTAGAACACCACTTTTTTTTTTTTTTTTTCTTCCCTCTTCACCATCCCTCCAAAATAGTGTCAGATGAGTTTTTTCAGACTGGTCTCCAGAGATGGTGATTTTAAGCTTTTGGCTGTTTTTGAGTTGTGCATATTAAAATAACATGTATAGCAACAGCCTTCTGCTGTAGGAAACTAATTCTTTTTCTCTGAGCTTAACTCAGCTACTTTGATAATTTGTGTAAGTAATCCTGTCATTTGGGAGAAAGAAAAATGATTTCATTGAGTCAGTTAATTAGGAAATAAGATCTTTGGGGGATTTCATGCATTTTCTGCAGGTTCAGTGGAAATCAGCCTGAATCCTTTCCATTCCAGTTTTCTCACTCCTCCTCCCCCCATCAGCATGTTTTACAATTCTTTGAACTGACGATGGTTTGTTTCTTCCCTTTAACATTATACATGGTTACTCCAAAAGCATTTTGTGAAATAACCTGCACTGCTCTCATTTATATACTGGCATTGAAAATCCCTTCATGTAGAAACAGTTTAGGAGCATCTTGATTGAAGCACGCCAACTCAGACTGTTCAGATCTCAGAGGAAGAGCTTTATGCTACACCGTCCTATGCTCGTTGCGTATCTGTTTCTTATTTGCATTACATTTTGAAAGAATTTTCCGTTCAGCCAGGATAAAGTAACCCTGGTGTGTGGGAGTGATGGAATAGCTGCACAGATGGGCTTTTTAGTCATAATCACTGAGGGTACCAGTGTCCCTAGCAGACAAGGAATGAGAAGGATCAGTGGTCGATCGCTCATCCAAGTCATAGACTGGTAGTAACGACTGTGAGAACTGGAGGAATTCTGTCCTCTTTTCATTCCACTTTTCCCCAGGAAAAAAGGGGCAACTACAGGTTTGCATTGATAAAATGGATTTTTCCTTAGATCTGCTGTGTTAGCAGACAGTGTTTAATATTAGTAAGATATCTGAGGCAAACGAGAGAGAAGCCATTTCCCTCAACCTGTAGGAAAAGAGAATAGTGTTAAGTACTACAGGAGCTCTTTACACTCTTTAAAAAGAAAAGAAAATCATTGAATTTTGAGAACAGATTAGTGAATTATATGACCTTCAGAATACTTAGCTTACTGCAAGGCTGGAGCATAAATCCTGGAACTTTTCATATTAATATATTGAAATAATTCAGACTGCTCATCTACTGAAGTCAGTGGTAAAAATGTCTGTTGGTTTTGTGGGGAGGGAAGCTAACCAGCCCTAAGAGAGCAGGTAAAGTGTCATAGTAACAGATTGCAGGTCCTTAGCACCAAACTCTGATTCTCTGCTGGCTATAATGGCTTGTAGTAAGGGGAAACGTTCATCATTTTATCATGCAAACTCAAAACATTTATGCCTTCTAGATTTTGGCATGACAAGAGATATCTACGAGACAGATTATTATCGTAAAGGAGGGAAAGGTTTGCTGCCTGTCCGCTGGATGTCCCCAGAATCACTGAAAGATGGAGTCTTCACAACGCACTCCGATGTCTGGTAACAAAAAAGGGGCTCTGAAAAACTGTCTTGGCCCCTCTTCTTTCTAGCCTCTTTTCTTGTTTGAGTAGACTTAACTAAGTATACTGCTGCTCCTGTCTCTTCAAAGGTGGCTCTCTTTTTCTGCTGTGAAGCATTCTGCTTTATATTTCATGTATCCATTGCAAAACCAAGAACAATGGATTTCCAAAACTGGAGGTGGCGACATGTTTCCTGCTGTGGGTTGTAAAATCAGTTGTGCAGTGAAAAACATTACCTTCACCTGGAAGAGCAAGTTGTCATTTTTCAAATTGCCCTCCTTCAAGAAAAGCATTAAAAGTTGCCAAGAATATAGAAAGGTTCATAGTGCTGACTTGCTTTTCTATCAAAACCTTCTGTGTAAATAACTCTACTTTCCTGCAGACAGTTTGTGTACACTAGTGTTTTTTTTCTTGGGAGTTCTCCCTTGGGTATGTCCTTCTCCATTTGGAGCTTTGCTTGCTTGTTTTACATACCGCAAGATGCAGAAATAGGTTTTTCTTTAAAAGCACATTGCCTAGTTGCTGTATCTGTGAAGTTATTAAGAGAGGCATTCAGGAAATTTCAAAATACACTTCTTAGAAGAAATAATACTCTGGAACCATTCCCCACACCCCCCACCCCCGAACTTTTGCAGATAGGTAGGGAGGACTTGGCAGAAAATGAACGTGTACTGGCAAAACCTCTACTCTGTCCTTTATGGTTTCTCTCCCTTCCTAACAAGATGTTTTTACTGCTGATCTGTTACAGAATTGGCAGCTGATTGTCTCCAAATGTCTAGAAGTCAGTAGGAATGGTATTTCAGTAGTAAACTGCATTTTCTTTAGACAGCTTGAGGATTTTGGAGTCAGTGGACTGTAGTCCACAGCACCAGCTTTGAGTGGAAGGTTCATAAGAGGAATTATGTGGCAAGTGAAAAAGCAAAGCACCAGAATGTTGCTTAATTTTTTTTTTTGCGTATGGCTAGTAACTTACTTATCAATCCAGTAACCCTCAAACTTGGAAACAGATGAAAATAACCACTTTGAGCTGAAGGGGAAGCCCTCTATCAGCCATTTATCTAATGGAACAGCGCAGGCATGCTTTTGGCAGTCCCCCTGCAGTAAAAGAATTTTGGGACTTGTAATGGCTTCACAAAGCAGACAGAAATTTGGAATATATCCCTAGAAAATCCCCAGATGTAGAACTGAACGAGCCTGGAGCAAGGAGCTGGCAGACCTACCCCTTCTTACCACACAACAGTAACTTTAAGTCCAGCCGTTGAATCAAAAGCAGGCTACAGCGGATCAGGTGTTCGCTTCAGTGACGTATTGCACTTGTTCCATACACGCTTTCCATTCAACCTATAAGTGACATTATTGTTTAAACATAACTCAAATTCCAAACAAAAAAAGAAAACAAACCCACAGATGTGACGCCAAATCAGGCGTCAGAAGTAAATTAGTACTTTAGGTGTTGCAGGAAGTACGTGAGTTCTCCCGTCAGTGTTTACAAGATTTGGCATTCATCGGTCATTCAGCCCAAAGCAGGGTTGAGCAAACAACATTGCAGTTTATCAGCGGGACAGTCTGAGGAAAATATCCTAGCCAGAAGTCACATGAAGAAAAGTAGCTTACTGATCATAACGTTGGAAAACTTATGGGGGGAAAAAAAAAAAATTCTGGCAGATTTTTATTTGAAAGCATAGAGAGGAAAAAATTGCTTTATGGAGAGGAGGTCCCCAGCTCTCATCAGTATTTCAGACAGTTCCTCCCTGGGATGGTTTGTCATCTTAATTGTTAGAAGTGACTGACTCTGAAAGTTGGTTCCCATAGGTATACTGTCGTGAGGTACAACAAAACCTGGTTCAACATGAGGAATATGCTGTTTGTTTAGAACACGTATACATTTGTGTTTGCCACATGTATCTACAGCTATAGATTCAGAAATTTCAATCTGAATTCCAAATGTAGTGGAGCTTGATTTATCACTGTCATGAAATAGCGTCCAGTTGATCTGCTTATGGCGAAAAGGATCGTTCTGGTTTACTTCTCAATAACTTTTAGAGCAATCACTATACATTGAAGGTCTTTTCATGCCAGGAAAAATTACCTGACTCCTTGTATTGGTTCAGATTTTGAAGTTGCTCCTTATAAACTGTGTAGCTTGGCTGGTTTGGGGGCCATTTATTTTCATCAAACAGTAAAAAAAAAAACCCCGAGATTGTTTTTCCTGCCTTTTTGGTAGGATATTGTGACATCTGTTTCCGTATTCTTCGAGATAAGTTTTAAAAGCCAACATGTCAAAAAGACAAAACTGTGTGAGTGGTCAGAGTCCAAGATTTACAAGCTGTAAGGTGAAGTGGCAAACTCTAAAAAGAGCGTCTGGAGGTTTTGAAGGGTGGAGCTTTATTTTAGCAATTCATTCTTTTATTGCTTTTCAGACTGAAGAATGAGGTAATTAGACAAGACTGTTTTTGCTGTAGTTAGGGAAGGAGAACATTTTAAAATTAATGTAATGCTGTTCGGGGTGAGGGTGTATTTCCATAAATAAGTCTTCAGCATCTTGCATTTTTTTAGAGCCGGTAGTTGCCTTGAAGGAGCAATCTAAGTTTATTTGTTATGATAATATGATTAGTAGGTGCACAAGACTTGTTCTCGTTATTCCTGCAGTGATCAAAGTAGCTTCAAAGGCGCCCAAATGTTGAGCTGACCCTCTGTCCCTGCCTCCCCTGAAAGGCAAACAATTGCAACTCTGTTTGTGGCTTCTGGCTCCAGATGCAAACCATTTTAGATACAGTGGATAACTGAAAGATAAAACCACTCTACCATAACCAGCTAATAATACTGGACTCCTGTTTTCACAACAATACCCTATTGAAACTATGCTTTTTTCCCCTCTAAGCTTGACTCAGCATTTTAGCCACAGAAGACAAGATAGCATCTACATTTTCTTTGCGCAGCAGCTCTAAAAGTAGATGAGTCTTCAGTGCAGGGCAGACAATTTGAGCCGTGTCTGCTCAATAAACTAATTTTAAATGGAGATATTTTTAGAAAGTGTCAATACTTACGTCCAAACTACCCAATTACATAACTATGCTTATCTTTCTTCGCCAGTAATCAATTCCTATTATTAGGCAGACTTCTTTTTGCACTTCTGCTGTCCTTTGTAGTTAGTTGGAAGGAGCTGGGATCTCTGTTTCAAGAACATAGTTACATATATGTTACCAAAGGGACAACTGAGCTTCTCCTGGGGGGCTTAAATGTTTTGGTGCTGAAGCAGCAAATTAGGGTCTTGGTCCAAGAAGCTGGAGAATATTCCCATTTCTTCCATGTCTTTTTCAAAAGTGGGTTTTGTTGCTTGCTGCTGTATGTTGAATGCATTGATCCTTTCTTTGCACCTTTGACTTAGAATGTGGAAGAAAGCAAAGCAGAGGGATAAATGGAAGGTGTTACCCAAGCAATGTTTTTGTGCCTGGGGAATAGAGGTTGGTTGGTTTGCTTGCTTTTAGTGGTGAGGCAGATGAGACGCCCAGGTGTGGTGGTGTGCTTTTGCTCTCTAGTGCTCGGCTTGGTTGGAGCGGTAAGGGAAGAATGCAGCTTTTAAATCGGATTTGTGTGACTCAAGTATTTCTGATGAAAAGCAGCTTACACTGGAATGAGAACTTACAGTTCTGCGTTATTTCCTTCTCAACTGCTATCAGGAGTACTTGAGATATGTTACATGAAGATTTTGAGTTTACTTTTTTAAATATACAGATTTTTTTCTTGCTATCTCTGTGGCTTGGGGGGGCCTGTCAAGCTCGCTTTAAGTAGCTGGTCTCTGCAACTTCTCCACCTGATTAGAAGGTTTGATTCCCTGCGCCCAGCCACACGGGGATCTTTTTGCAGACTTTCATGATGAGATGTGTATCCAGGCTGAGGTCCTCTGTACAGAAAGTGCACAGATAAGAATAGAATTTTTAAATTTTTTTTTTTTCCTTACCTGCCATCTTTCCTTTTGCCATCTCCATTGTTCTTCCCGCCTCCCAGTGCCCCTAAAGTCTGAACCCAAAGCCATGGGAAAGGGAGATGAGCTCGAGCTTATTTTCCAGGCAAGCTCACAACTTAAATCCTGAGTTAGGAAGCTTCTGGTCAATGCAAAAAGCTTGTGGTGGCTTTTTTACTGATTGACTTATACAGAGCCTGTGTAACCAAGCAATGTTGGGCCACTGAATGATCAGAATCATGACCAGCTCCGAGCTGTAAATTATGGCGTGAAAAATGGAGATGTAATATTACAGGGGCCATTCTGAAGAGTCAGTTCAGAACTGGGAGCCTGTTCGTCACCGTTGACTAGAGGTGTTTGAAGTCAACAGTCTCTTATGCTAGGTGATGTGGCTGTCACCATAGCTACATACTTTTTCGAGCAATTGGAATTTTTTGGTAAAAGAAAGTACCTGTAGACACCTGCCTGCTCAGCATCATCAAATAAAAATATCCTTGTGCAGATTGCTCAGCTTTCTAAAGTTCTGATTTGTTTTCCAGGTCTTTTGGTGTTGTACTTTGGGAGATTGCAACGTTAGCGGAGCAGCCATACCAAGGCATGACCAATGAACAAGTGCTCCGCTTTGTGATGGAAGGAGGTCTGCTGGAAAAACCAGACAATTGTCCCGATATGCTGTAAGTGTTGACAGTTACCACTGTTCTCAGTCACAGTTTATTCTTCCTGATCCCTTTGATGTCCGCTTCTGCCCTATCTACCACAGGAGGGGTTATTAAGGAGTGATAGTAATGTGAGGTGCTGCTTGAACAGTCTCTGTCAATCTAGTATTTTGGCGTAGTTAGACATACCAGAAAACAATTTTGCTTGTGGCCAGAATTTCACTTTGGGCCATCTCCTCTAATAAAGAAACAAACCCCACTTTTTGTGTTCCTGAATAAATTTAGATTTAATAAAAGCTCATAAGTGACATTTGCTACAGCAGAATACTTTGTGCCTGAACCTTGTCTCTTCTGCTTAAAGTAATTCTGTTGAGTATAAAGACAAAAATGAGCTTAGGACAAGCTGAAAGGTATTGTGCATAAACTCCATGGAATTCAACTTTTTAGTTCAGCATAGAGATAAATGAATGTATGGGTTCTTTGCCTGAAGCAGTGTTGGATCAGTCACTGTGCTGATCACATTGAGGTAAACACATCTAGCCTGCTAACAGTTTTCTTTCCTGAAAGCACGGGAAGTAGTACACAAAACCCCTTTGCCTACCCCTACAATCAGTACAAAGCCTTGCCGTAAAGGAGGGTGTGCAATGCAGCAGGCTTCAGTTTTTAGCATTACATTGTTGAAATACTTCTGCTGGCTTTTGTGTACAGCAGTTTCAGTTGTTCAGACTTTATTACTTTGATATACTTCCCAAACTGGCTTTTGGGAAGGAAATACTACGTCTTGCAGTTATTGAAATTTGTTGGAGGCCCACAGAAGGGATACAATCACTTAAGGGCCTCAGCTGCTTGGGATTCTTAGGAAAAGAGCTTTTTTGGCTGGAGCGCTGACTTTGGTTTCAGATGACAGGCAGTGTTGTTTTGTTGTTTGAGGGGGGTGGGTGGTATATGCAGGGGGAGGTGTAGCTGCCATGTGATTCCTCAATTTCACATTCTTTCCCTTCCACGATGCTGTGGAGAATTTCTGGCAGTCAGATTGACTGGAGATGGTTTAACATGGTCAGAGCTGCATAAAGGAGGGGGGGGGCAGTAGGCAGAAATGGGGGAAGAAGGGTGTGTGGAGGCGTCTGCTCCCCAAGTCCACAGGGAAAAAAATACCTGTGCAGTGAGAACATACTCAACAAGAGATTCAGCGTTAGAAATTCCCCATTAACCTGGGGCATGTGTGGTATGAACAGGGGGACGGGAGGGGAGTCACAGCAAGAAGCTCTCTGCTGCAGCCCACCCGGCCCATTCTCCTTCCTCCTCCTCAGAGATAATCCTCTGCTTTTGCTGGGTGTTGCTGCTGGGTGAATCCACTTTCGACTGGCTTGCGAGCTGGGAGGATTTGTTTAATGTCTGGCAGAGTGAATCTTTGCACCAGCGTATAACAGCAAAGGCCTTTTTTTGTGCTGATTTTAATGACAAAGCTATTCACATGTTAGTTAATGCCACCAAGACATTAGTCTGCCATTGCAGAGGTGAAGAATAAAACCAATACCTTCCTTTGAATTTAGCCACTTCTCTCCATCAGAGCAAGGAACAGGGCTGAATTCAGGACTAAGGCACATCCAGTTCAGTGGTGTCTTTTGGGGGGGTTGAGCGTGTGATACAGTTGTGTATAAAACATCCTGACTCTCTGCAAAATGGGGGGAAACAATAAAATTGAATGTATTGACCTTAGAAGCTTATTGTGACTTGCTTTAGCTCCCTTTCAGCAGCTGCTTTGTATTAGGACAGACACCCAAGTCTGCTGAAAGTCAAATAGGCCGTTGTAGGAGTAACAGTAGGAAGCTCCAGGAATAATCTTCACCTTTATTCCATGCATGTGTGTTTAGCATTCAGAGAACTTATTTTTTGTTACTGTGGTGCTTTTTTTTTGTATGTATGTATGTTTTCGCTTCTTTCCCTGTCTTCCATCCTGTTAGCCCAAGATGCTGTAAAGATGCTGTGCGATGCTCGGTAACCTGACAACTGCTGCCAGCCTTCAGCCTCGCATGTGTTGCTGCTGGCAGGCACAGAGACCTGGTCTGGAGGCAGAGCTCCTCTCCCCTCTCCAGCTGTCTGATAACCTGCTTCTCAGCAACGGATGTAACCAGAAAAATTACTGAATGGACAGAAGGGTGCTTGTGGCAGAGTTGCAGAGAGCCCTGAAACTGCACGTGGATCTTGCCGTGCATCCCCAGCACGTGTCAGGCAACCGCTTTCACAAGCGCTTTATGAAACCCTTTGTGAAATGGGAGGTTTTCTTTTTTGTGGAGGAGGCTAAAAGATTCTGTTTAAAGACAGGTTTCTTGCTATGTCTGTGCCAGTGGACAGTGGAAAGGTGGTTTTTAGACAGTGCAGATTCTCACTGGTGGAGAATGACTGGTCTGTGATACTTAATGTTAACTCACAGTATTAACTCAAGATGTACAGAAAGCAAAGTCCACCTGCTGCAGGGAAGTGAATATACTCCTTGTTCTTGGTGCTGCCTGAAAGCAAGCAAGGAGGGGAGACACTTTTTTCTTTAAATTAGTTTGACTTAGAACTAAAATTATGGACAGAACACAAATTTACCTTTCTGTAGAGAGAGGGGAGTATACTGACATACAAAAACATCCAGAACAGGTGGAGGAGGTAGACTGCTGTGGGGAAGCGTAGATGAGAATAGAAGAATCTTGCTGCAACTGTCACAGAATCTACTATTTTTAGCCTCGCAGATTATGTGAGTGTTGACACAGCCACACATGCTCCGCTCACAGTGCAGTAGTTTTCATAAGGGCCTCTTGTTGCCCCCCCTGCACAAATGCTACGTGGTGCAAGCAATCTTGGACGTTCCATCTCTCCTAAGACTGCAATGCTAGCAATGCTTGTTGGTGGCTCTGCTTTGCTAACTCCAGTAGCGGTGAGACAGTAGCGTTTAGATGGATCAGAGACCGAGGGCACTTGAAGAACTGGAGAGATTCTGTTCTGCAGCTCGGTTGTATCGGGTGCTTGTGCAAAGGGGGATTTTACAGGGCGGTTGTCTCGTGGTTCAGAGAGGTGGTAAGTCCCTGGGAAAGGGGACAGTATTTCTAGAGGCTTTTTACACAGGGTGAAACAAGACTCAGTTCTGTTTATGCTACACCCTTTTGGCATAGTTTGCATGGTTTTACAGGCAGAACCATGCAATAAGACAGATGGTTCAATAAGATGGTGCCAGGAGAAGCTTTGCTGTTTTTCTCATCTTCCTGTGTAATAAGTTATGTTTTTATGTACTGCCATTGTTATGGCAGTGTTCATCAGGTGATGGCTGCATGGCAAGAAGGTTTGTTGCAGCTGAAGCTCTCAGACAGTGTGTTCCCGTGGGGCTTTTAAAAGTTGTGGAGGCTGGAATTCTGTTTTTGAAGCAAAATTGCTTCCCCCACGTGTATTGTAGATGACTAGACTGTTTACGCATTGCTGATTTTCCCTTTGTTCCTGGCAAGCATGCGGCTAGAAACCAGGGGCTGCTGTGCAGAGGTAGTGTCAGTGTGGAGCAGCAGCAGGAGAGGCCCTTTCACATCTCCCCACCAAATCGAGTCTGATGCAAAGCACAAGCGCACACTCAAATGGAATGCAGCTTCTATAGTAATTTTCCCTTTTTTTTTTTTTAATGTCTCAGTGCAAAAAGTAACTCCATTTCTGCTCAGTTCTTTGAGCAAAAGATGCACGAGACACACACTGGCTACTCCTTTATCTCGTGATGATGCCCCCAACTTCCTTGAAACATACTTTATAAAACTGTTCGGGTTGTGTTAACAGTCTGTAAATTCTTCCATTGTCTACTGGAAAGGGTTTTTTTTCTTTAAGATAATGTAAACAAGGTCTTTGAACCCACAGAGTTAAAAAGGGAAAAAAAAATCCTTTTATGGGAACTCTGTAGGGTTTTTAAATCTGGAATGGCTTAAAAGAAACATCACATGTCCTTGTTTGTGCTGATGTCACATGCATTACTCCACTGCTTGTGGTATCTCCTTAGCATTGCCCTTAGGCCTCGGGGCGAAGCGCCAGCGAATATCCAGTGTTCTTGGCTCCAGCTAACGCTTCTATTCAGGGACGCAGCAGTCAGCTGGAAAGGAAACAGCAATGAAGTAACAGAAATGGATTTTATATATTTATGTCTCAAGCTTTCCTCCTCGTTTGTGGGTGAGGGTATAGTGCAGTTTTATAGTTTGGCTTCACTTTTCCTAGGAAAGACTTTTTAAGGACTCAAAACCAAGCAATAGTTTAACAGTGTTTATATGTCTACGTGCCTGTTACAACACAGCATTGAGTCCTCCCAGCACAGACTGGTTTTGCCAGCTTCTTTTTGGGTGTCACAAGGCCGTGCTCAGGTGGCTGACTTTTGTCCAGGCAGAGTTGTGCCAGCTGCGCTCGAAGAGGAATATTTGTGACTCTAAACGCACTTCAGTTCAGTCTGGGTTTGTCTGGTTGACATGCTCTCCACAGTGTTTGCACCCCAAGCACAGCAGCTTTCCCTCTCTTTGCCGGTTCGCTTCAGCTGAGGACGTAGGGCACCTATGAGGAAAAGCAACGGTATTTCCCCAGGAGCCAGTTTCTGGGGGAGGGGATCTCTTTGCTTTGGTTCTGTTTCGGGCTGGGGTTCCCAGGCTCTCGGACCCCGCTGCCTGCAGCGATGCACAGCAACAGG